ATACAGCGTAGAGCTTCAGTGTTTTGTATTGAATTGAAAGTTTCTTAGTGTCACATGTGCCAAAAGAAAGTATTGATGTAAAAAATGTTTAACATGTTGATATAGTAAGAGAAATAAGTTGAAATAGAATGAAGGAAGACATCGAAAGAAAAATGTGCAAAAATGATTCATAATGTGCTTTATCAATTACAAACGATGGCAGAAAACAATAAAGATCATGTGTATACGATAACAGAGGTGAAACTTTGAAAAGTTAAAGATTTTGGTTTGATATAAATATATGTGATAAAAATTTCAGCCTTCCATGTCAAGAAAAACTATGGAAAATATTATTGGTAATGTACCTTCAGCTATTTTTGGGCGCCGTTAGCAATTATAAACAAAAAGCTAGTTAAATTAGAATCACGATAAAAAAAGGGAGGTATTGAGTTCCGGCATGAATGTCATTGTTTTGACACAAATGAGATCGGATAATTAAAAAGAATATAATTGAACTGAACGAAACCTTTTCTTGCATTTACATATATTTATTTCAAACGGTGTGTTAAATAATACTGACAATTGAGGTTTTTGTGTTATTAGGTGATAAGACTAGACATAGTCGGGTCCAATCAAAACTTTCATTACCAAACTAAAAAATTTGAAGTATAGGCTAAACTTGGCATGCACAGATTGCGGTATTAGAATTTGAAGGTCTTTACAGTATTCACATAGGATCCACAACTCGAAATATTAGCCAAGTTCGGTTTTCTTTCTTCTTTCATGATTGTTGAATAGAGCTAATTGAGTTGCAAATGGAAAATTATGTTTCTAATTAAAAAAAAAATTCACGCAAAACGACCAAGCTACTATCATTTTTACATATAGGACAGAATATATTGAGAATTCTAGTTTTTGGTAATTATTATATTTGTTATCATACTTTTCTTATATAACTTAATGAACTCTATCTAATCATAAGAAAAAAAGAAAAAAATTCTGCTAAAATTTTGAATGATGAGCACATTGCATATACTGCGAATGCCTAAAAATCGAATATCACAGTTGGTGCATGCCAAATACAATTTATACTTTAAAGTTCTTAGTTTAGCAGTGAAAAATTTTATTTATACCAACTGTATCTAGTCTTACTAATTAACAAAAGAAACATCTCTATTGTTAGTTTGCTATAAATATCTGTTCAGATCAAATATTTTTTTCCACTTACAGTTTATCTGTCATGATTTTACATTTTCATGAATTGTAAGTCTGTCATTTTCTTTTGTAAAGTTGACAAGCATGCTTTTCATAAAATGACATCTTTTATTATGATTGTTATAATGCTGCTTTTTAAATAAGCTTTCTGATCCCTATTTATTATATACGTATATACAAAAAACAATGATGTAGAGGGTATAATGCGAGAAAATCATAAGTAAGAATAGAAATCTGTTCACATGAAAGCTTTTGTATTATTTTTTTCCGTTTGGTATGCTTATCTAACTATTAGGTAACGCATACCATATTTGTATTTTAGTTTTTAGACCATATTTTGTGTATGAAGATATATGTAGGTATGTATTTTTCTAATCATTTTAGCTGTTAATTTCGGTTAGCAATAAAAAATCCTGAATAATCAGAGCTCTAAATGAGTTAAGCAATTTAAGACAAAGACCATTGATGTAGCAACTGAGTTTTCTTCTCATCATTAAATTTAGATCGACCAATAGGCAGCTCATTGCGTTATTTGCCAACGTCTATTTATCTTTGAATTTAAGATGATTTATATAGGATGTGTGAAATATAAACAAATTATGCTTGAAATATAAGAAAAAATGAAGGATTTCTAAGCGCATGTGTCTTCTGTTAGAGCATTTAAGTATTAGGTAATCAAATTTGCGAGAGTGAACTACAGTGAAAATGAAGTGATCATTTTAAAGAATGCAAGCAAATTTTATAGAAAGATCAGAGAACATAGGAGCATTATGAAAAAGTTTGTCAGGATAGCAACTCTGTGAACCCAGTGGTTTGTATATGATGAACTGTCGAGCATTAGCATTTATCAATGAGGAATTACGCAAAACCACATGCTTTATAGTGCATATATTGATGATTAGTTATGTCTAGGAGTATGCTATATAACTTAACGTAAAATTGAGTTCAGTTTTATTACATAACACTTAATATTAAGTTCAATTGATTACGTCAAGCAAATATCATTTTATTACAAGTTTTTCTTTACTTCGGTATAGACTCAATATGGTGTTGTCCAAGCCATTTAAGAGATAACTCCTACTAACCTCAGATAAATTAGACAATAATATGTTTTGAGCAAAAGATAGTGAAGAAGTCTTTTGCTGAAATCTGGATTGGCTAGGATGTGTTTCGTTACAACTAATCAGATTTGATAAGAGTTTTTTTGACTGTCGTATAGACAAAAGATCATGTTATCCGGATCCATCAGGATTTAGTACGAGTTCTCTTTTATATATCCTGCACAACACCATATATTGCTCTCATGGTAGTGAAGAAATCGTTCGGTGAATTTCTATTAGTTGAAACCAAAATGGTCCTAGCGGAACAGATGTAAGCCAACGATTTCTTCGCTATTGTAAGGACAAAACATGATTTTGTTTGGGCTGATCATGAGATTAACATCGTTTGTGTCTTGAATGCTTCGGTCAACACCATGTTGAGTCCGTATCGAATCAGAGGAAAACTCGAAATGAAATGGTATTTTCCTAATGTATTCCTTGAAATCTAATGAAGTCGAATTAAAAAATAAATTGAGATTCATTTCGTCAATCTTTGCTTGTAAGACTGTCGTCTTCCTTTGTCGCAATATATACACTGCATGTATGACTTACGTTGAGATCTGAAAACATATAAAAGAAGTCATTCCTTATAGGAAGATATCGTCACTATGATTATGTTTAGATTTGTATATCTATTATGATTTTTCTAACGTCATAAAACTAGATTTCGATCTAAAACTTAGTTAAGAGTTTGCTGACTATACCAATCGGTGCTTTTGTTATGAATACTCTCAATTTTTAAGATTCACATTTGATAATGTTTTAATTGTATGAAAAACTTATTCATAATGGTTACACAAGCAAGATTTGAAGTTCATCATTTTTTATATTTGATTTTTCTAGGAAAGGAATAGTTTCATAATGGCTAACACAACGATTATTTAATAGTTGAATGATTCATGTAGTAGAAAAATACCTATCTTTTCTCAGAATTCAATACTGATAAAATTAATTTGGTCATTTGCTTTTTCATAAACAAAATTGTCGGCTCTTACTTGATAAAAGAAGCACAAAATATGCGCTAGTCCTGTTTAATAAGATGAAAATTAGAATTTACATTCAATAGAAGAAAATTATTCCGTAGTTTTTCGCCTAATTTGGAACAAATTCCAGCTAATATTCAGTTTTGCCTACTAGGATATTTATGTGTGTAGAAACCATAAGCAACTGGTTGTTAATTTCAATGATAAAATTACTAAATATTATCATACATTTTTTTGTTTTGAGATCTTGTTAAAGAGAAATACCATTACATCTTTAATTAGTTCTTAGAAAAAGTATTGAATATATTTCAGTCGTTATATTATATAGTCTTAAAAGAATTCCAATGTTTTCTGATTTATGTATTGTCTTCAAATCTGTAGCCAGCGGGAACTGGAAAATACGCTCCAACCAACTCTGAGCGTCATTTTTCTTGAGAGTTATACCAGCTGACAGAGCTTAAAAAGCTGAGTCTACTAGACTCTACTGTGATCTGCCTTGAGCTAAATACTCAAAAAACTAAATGTTTGAAAACTGAAGTCTAATACAACTCTGTTACATATTTTGAACTGACTAGAGCCATCGGGCATTTATCACACCTTCATCTAACGTCATTTGTCAGAACACTTAATGTTTTGAGCTTTTGGATCAGAACATGTCAAAGAGTATTTTAACAGTTCCATTAACCGACTAAGTCAGACATGCACATTGAATTCAATTATTGAATAGATTATGAGAGAAAAACTGGAATTTTTATATTCACCTGTTCAAATATTGAGTTGAGATAACTAAACATTATGTCTCTGAAAGAGTCAAAGCAACAGAATAGTTGAATATCTGAAGTAAACGATCGTAAACGTATGAATCCATTGCAAATTTACAGTGCTTTGTAATATTTCCTAGAAAGATGCCACTAGTCCAATGATATTTTTGAAATCTCTCGGTCTACTGTGCTCTCAAAAATAGTCTGCTAATATACTGCGATGGACAACTTGATAGTGAAAACTTTTTTTTTTGACAAGTTATAGATCAGCTTTTAAAGAAAGTATAATTCACATTAAGTTCATTTATCGATGAAATTATTTCAAAGCAACAAATTTAATTAATTATGATCAGTACTAATTGCGTTTCACATACTAGAAAAATCTTGAGACGGATCAATTGTGAAAAAAGAATATATTTCCGCATGCCACGATATTATTACTGTTTGATGTTGAGTGTGATTGGTACTCTGACATATCCAAATATTTTAATTGATCAATAAAGATGTACTTATATCTTCAATCATATTCTATACCAGCTTTAAATCATACACAAGAATGTTGTCTTAACGATAGTGAAAAAGACAGCGTTCCATTTATTGACATGGGAACTGCACACATTTTAATCATGAGAGTAATCTTTGAAAGACATAAGACAGAGAAGATTATGAAAATTCATTTATGTCCGCACAATTACTTTTTATATTTCTTACCCAAGTGAAAAAAAACACAGAGTACAGCGGAAAAAGTTGAGATGAATAAGTCGAATCTAGCTCGACTTGTGTCGATTTGACATTTTTTTTTTTTAGTAAAAGTATGCCAAAGAATTACTAACTCATCTATCTCTTGATAAAAGTGAGTTGATTCTAATCCAGATTTAGTCATGTTTTCAATCCAGTAGGTCATGAAACACAAGAAAATAAATATCTTCCATTGTAGATTTCAAAAAAATAAGAAAAAAAAAATGTCGTCAATTAACCAAGTAGCAAACTCAATAACAATTTATCTTGGTCTCCCCATATTTATATTTGGTACTTCCGGAAATTTACTTAATATTCGTCTTCTTTGGCGAACTCGTCGTAATCCATGTGCATTTATATTTTTAGTTATATCATTTATTAATTGTATTGTTTTATTTTATGGTTTATTCACAAAAATATTAAGTGTTAATTTTCATGTTGATTGGTTCACTACAAATCTTATTTGGTGTAAAACTCGTGCTTTGTTTGGTCAAGCTAGTTTTTTAATTTCGTTAACATGTACTTGCTTAGCAAGTATTGATCGATTTCTTGTTAGTTGTCGACAAGAAAAATACAGAAAATTAAGTCGATTATCAATAGCTACATGGGCAATTATTCTAATAATTATATTTTGGTTGGCTCTTTTTCTTCCTTTTGCTGTACATACTGAATTAGTACAAAATCTCTTGACGGGTTTATTATCTTGTACATATGTTGGAAATCAAGCTTTTGTTAATTATCAAATATATTTTGCATTTCCTATTTATTATGGTTTATTACCAAGTACAATTCTGATAATAACAGGGCTATTGACATATAGAAACACAAATAAATTACAAATAAGACGCCAAAGACAAGTAGTTCAAAAACAATTAACATCAATGATGCTTCTACA